GGTGCAGGCGCGTGCGAGGTGTGGGTGTGTGCGAGGTGCAGGCGCGTGCGAGGTGGGGGTGTGTGCGAGGTGCAGGCGCGTGCGAGGTGGGGTTTGTACAGGGTGCAGGCGCGTGCGAGGTGGGGGTGTGTGCGAGGTGCAGGCGCATGCGAGGTGGGGGTGTGTACAGGGTGCAGGCGCGTGCGAGGTGGGGGTGTGTACAGGGTGCAGGCGCGTGCGAGGTGGGTGTGTGTACGGGGTGCAGGAGCATGTGGGGCAGAGTGGGCTCAACTAGAGCAGAGAAGTTATGGTCCCTTCTTCGTGACTGTGAAAATCGTTCATGGATTGTAAAACCAAATAAAAAGCCTTCTTGGGCTAATTAAAGGGAAAAAAAGCCAAGGTTCCTAAACATGCGGCATTGATCTGGCGCTTGACGTCTCCTTCCCCCTGGAGGACTGGAGGGTCGTGTGGCAGGACCGCGTCTGGTTTGGATCGTCTGTGACCCCTGGCCCAGCCAAGTGTCTGACCCACAGAAGGCACCTAGTCAGTGTTTGATGAGTGAATAGATGAGCAAGTGAGTGAAGGAGTGAAGGAGACTCCGCAGCGTCCTGTGACGTTCAGTGTGGATGGCGCGCCAGGGAGGGGGGAGGGGCCAGCATGCTGCGGCTCAGAATCGCCCCCAATCTGCGTGCCGGACGCCAGGGCCTGTGGTCATCCCCTCGGTATTTCTGAACGTCCCAGGTTTCCTGGAATAAAAAGTCGGAATTTGCTTTTAGTGCTGCTGGTGAGGGATCAGGCACGCACCTGCCGGGTGGTCCGGCCCCGGTCAGATTCGGGACGCCTGTCCGTTTGCCAGCCTTGACCTCTTTCTGGTCATTCTATCCAGATCTTCTTCTTCCCTTAGCTGCACGGCCCCCTCTCCCTGCTGCCCCCCAAGTTCCAGGCTTCAAGCCAGGCTCCGAGCCGGGCAGAGTGCACATGGGGCCGCAGGCAGGGCATATGGTGACGCAGGGTCGTGTCTGACAGAGAAGGAGGTGGGGACACGGAGTCAGGTTGGACAGCTCTCTCCGCCTGCGAACCTCCACAATGCCACCACCTCTGTCCCACACTCAGTCAGATCTGACCCCACAGCCCCGTGACCCACGTCCTCGGACGCCCTCAGCCCCACTTGCTCTGTGACAGCGGGGCTGGGGTCCCGGCAGCCTTGGTCCATGCCCCATGGTGTGTACCCTGCGTTTCACAGAAGCATGTTGTGGAGACATTTTTTGGATTTGACGAGGAGTCTGTGGACTCAGAAACGTTATCCGAGACGTCCTACAACACGGACAGGACAGACAGGACACCGGCCACCCCCGAGGAAGACGTGGACGAGGTAAGCCGACCCCTGGGTGTCGGGACCCCTGCGAGGGCCACGTGGCTGCACAGCCTGCCTCCCACAGAGCCGGACCCTGGACGACCCCTCCCCGCTGTCCTCTGGGCCGGCCACTGGGAGGGCATCTCCCCTTTGCCCAAACACTGGTTTCAGAAGGAAGAGGCCACAGCCTTTGGGACCGCACCCCCCTGAGCCTCGTGGAAACAGCATCGTTGCCTTTTCCTTTTTTTATTGCAGTCAAGTCTGTACGAAAACACTTGCCGTTTAGCCATTTTCATGAACAGTTCGGGGACGTTAATTACACTGTCTGTGCTGGGCAGCCATCGCTACTCTCCATTTCCACTGTTTTGATTACAAAGACGACACATCCCTGTGGGGGAAAGTCCAAGTGTACCAGAACTGAGGAGGAAAAAAGCCCCCACAGCTCCCGTCGCCCCAAGCTCCCCCTCACTCTCGGGGCTGTCCAGGCTCATGGCTGCTCCATGGAGCGAATGTGCTGGACTCTCCAGGGCGAAAGGGCGCTGTCACACCATCCCCTGCATTCTGGACCTCTTTCCACTGTGAACCCCCCTCCCCCATGGGATCTGTGTCTGCTGGGATGCAGGTTCCCTGTCCTGCTCGTCCACCCCTGCTTCTGCACCCTGTGGCTTTTCCTGAGCTCACCTGGAGGGCGGGAGGGGTAGGGACATGCCCAAGGCTGGCCTGCTCCTCGGGGGTGGTGCCCCAGGGGTGCGTGCTCCTCGGGGCTCCCGGGCGCCACTGTAGGGCCCTGCAGCTCCCTGGCTGGCCGTGGGCACTGCCCCCTCCAGCTGCCCAAGCTCCCCCTGCCTGGGGTGGGGGGGTCGCCCTTCACAGACTCCCCGCTGTCCCTCCCTCTCTCAGCGGTCTTTCAGGGGAGTTCCTTCCAGATGCCTCCAGGCCAGCTTCCCCCCAGGGGTTCGTGTGGCCACAGGAAGACCCGGCCCCCAGGTGACCCCTGCTCTTTGCCACCATCTGCTGCAACTCCAGGGACACGGGTCAGATGCTCTGAGGGGTCCTGTGACCCCATCTGTGCTGGGGGCTGGCCAGGGAGATGCTCCAGCCCCTTCTCCTGGCCCAGCCCTGGCCTCACGTGGCTGACGGCCCTGGTGCTGGAGACCCTCACGGCCAGTTGACGAGTCCCCCGGGCAGCCTGGATGGAGCACTGGGCACTGGGTTTTCCCAGCCACAGCCTTTGCCACAGCACCGTGGACCTCGGTTTATGTCAGGTTATGGTGGGTTAAACGGGGTCTTCCGGACACGCTCTTCTGTCAGCTCTGTTCAGCCCACAATACGTGTCTTTCCATGTGAGGCATGCAGCCTGGCGTCCTTTCTCACGGCCGCGCGGGGTCTGTCGTGTGGGCTCCTGGCGCTTCATGGGTCCAGTCGTCCTTGACTACGGACAGCCAGCGCTCTGTGAGCTGTTGCACTCGAGTCTCTGCTCCTGACGCTCACCCCTCAGGAGGGATTCCCAGAATGGGAGCAGGAGTCTGAGCTCGTGGATGGTGGGGGCTCCAAGCCCTTCTCCCCCCCCACACTCCTGTGTAGCTCAGGTGACTCTTGGGGGCTCCGCGCACTCTGGCGAAGAACCCCCTTCATCCTGCAGCCCTTCGCTCCCACAGCTTGATGCCGAGTAATTGTCAGCCGAGATTGGGGGACCCGGAGCTAGCTTTAGCCCAGGATGACTCTGGCGCTCAGGACCGCGTCACATCACATCACACCACGTCACACCGCGTCACATCACATCACACCACGTCACACCGCGTCACACCACGTCACACCACATCACATCACATCACACCACGTCACACAGTGTCACACCACGTCACACCGCGTCACACCGCGTCACACCACATCACGTCACATCACACCACGTCACACCGCGTCACACAGCGTCACACCGCGTCACACCGCGTCACACCGCATCACACCGCGTCACACAGCATCACACCAAGTCACACAGCATCACACCAAGTCACACAGCGTCACACCATGTCACACCACATCACACAGCATCACACCACATCAC